CCTTTTCTGGAGCCAACTAGTCAGCTATGAACTTAATCCTTAGAGGTTACTCCTGACTGGGATACATGCCTTCATCATGCACTGAATGGGCTTTAGGCCAACATAGATTTGTAAAGATTCAAATCAAAACTTTGCAATTGTTAGGATTTTATAAAGGAAAATTATCAGTATATTTTTTCAATCAAATTTTTTAAACTAGTAAAATTTTCAAGATGTGATTAATCTCTAATCCCATGAAATCTGAAAGAGGTTGAAATAGAGAATTACCTCCTAACTCCACTTTATTTGCAGCCAGTTAAGATGACATAAAAGTCAGTCATGGCCAGACGCAGTGGCTTGCACCTGTTAATCCCAGCACTTTGGGAGGCCAAGGTGGGTGGATCACCTCAGGTCAGGAGTTCGACACCAGCCTGGCCAACATGGTGAAAACCTGTCTCTACTAAAAATACAGAATCAGCTGGGTGTGGTGGCACATGCCTGTAATCTCAGCTGCTAGGGAGGCTGAGACAGGAGAATTGCTTGAACCCAGGAGGCAGAGGCTGTGGTGAGCCAAAATTGCACCATTGCATTCCAGCCTGGGCAACAAGAGCGAGACTCCATCTCAAAAAAAAAAAAGAGTCAGATAAAGATCATAATATCAGTTTTATTTTTGATAAAGCCCTCCTGGAGAGTGTGGCTTAGATTTGACCTGAAATCATGCTTCTTGATATTTTCCTTCAATATCTAGTCCTTGGAATATGAACTTTAACCCACAGTAAGAGCTTTATACCCATCAAGCTCCAGTAGCAGGGAGACTGAGAGTGAGACCTATCTTGTCCCTAGAAAGCAGGCATAGGTCTGAGCTGTTTGTGCTTACCACAAGGCAACAGAAAGGAAGCAGGATATTCACACACTTTGTGGCAGGCAGATCTGAGAAAGAGAGCAGGAAGGACACACACTTTATTGTCAGTGCCCTCTTGCCAATTTGCCTTCAGTCAGCTTGTGTTTCTTCACTTTAGGGGTTAGCGAATAAGGGATGGAGAGAGAACAAATGTGTTTTGTGATTACTTTTCCCTTCTGGGGAGTGGAGTAGAAAACTGATCTCCTTTAAGAAAACTTGAGAATTTCTTGTTATATAGCAAGTGCAAAGTGACAAAAAATGATTAATATATAATTCACATAAATAGTACATGTACCTTACATGTCTTTTGATTTGTTAAAATATTTCATTCTTATATAATGTTCATAGTTTTTGCCTTTGGGAAGTGTTCTTGATTTTTAAATTAATGTTTTAAATCCATTTTGAGCCTGATTGATGGGTTGAAGTAAGCAGATACTCACAGAGGTTATTCTTTGGGAGCAGCGACATCATTGAGTTGCAGTGAGCAGAGGCTAAACAGATGTGCTCATCATAAGCCACTTGGTAGTGTAACTGGAATACTCTACTTCATAATTTTATATGAAAAATACTGATGCTCAAAGAGGGAATTAGAATTATTTTGAGTAGAATTTTTTAGATGAAGTTCTGTTAATGCAGGTAATACTGAATTAATTCACTATGTTATATGGTTCTCTACATCTTTGAGAAAAATAGAACTAAACAGCAATAAAAACTAAAGGAAACATTTTAAGAAAATATTTTAAAGTTCCCCAAAATATTGCTCTCCTGTTTGAATTTATAATGATACCAAATACTATCTACCAATAATTTATAATGCTACCAAATACTAGATACCAAATACTAAATACCAAATAATTTTTTTCAAGATTGTTACATGTAAATTATCATGTAATTTTTTTCAAAATTGTTACATATAAATTATCATGTAACAATCTTGAAAAAAACTCTTAGGCAGTGTGTTATAGATGAGCTCTTATTTTCAGAAAGATTTCCTTCTGTGGATGTTAAAACTACATGATATTGTTTAAACAACATGAAAAAATTAGTAGAATAAGAATTATAGAACTGAAAGTGTTCTTTTATAAAATTCTCTTGACCAAAGATGAATAACCTTGTTTAAAACTTACTAGTATAATATCCAGAATCTACGAGGAACTCAAACAAATAAGAAAAAAACAAGTAATCCCATCAAAAAGTGATCAAAGGATATAAATAGACATTTCTCAAAAGAAGACATACAGACATCCAACAAACATATGAAAAAATGCTCAATATCACTAATTATCAGGGAAATGCATATTAAAGTCACAATGAGATACCACCTTATGCCTGCAAGCATGGCCATAATTTTGTTTCTTTCTTTTTCTTTTTTTTGAGACAAAGTCTTGCTTTGTTGCCCAGGCTGCAGTGCAGGGGTGTGTTCTCCGCTCTCTGCAACCTCTGCCTCCCAGATTCAAGCATTTCTCCTGCCCTAGCTTCCCGCATAGCTGGTTTTACAGGCATGCACCACCATGCCTGGCAAATTTTGGTATTTTTAATAGAGAAAGAGTTTCACCATGTTGGTCAGGCTGGTCTCACACTCCTGACCTCAAGTGATCTGCTCACCTTGGCCTTCCAACATGCTAGGATTACAGGTGTGAGCCACTGTGCCTGGCCAAGAATGGCCATAATTAAGAAGTCAAAAAACAATAGATGTTGGCTTGGATGTGATGAAAAGGGAATGGTTTGTTTTGTTTTTTTTTGTTTTTTTTTTTGACAAAATGACAGTTTTTATTCATTGTCAGAAAAGGGAACAGCTTTACACAGCTAGTGGGAATGTAAATTAGTACAACTGCTATGGAAAACAGTATGGAGGTTCCTTAAAGAACTAATAGTAGAACTGCCATTTAACCCAGCAATCCCACTACTGGGTGTCTATCCACAGGAAAAGAAGTCATTATATGAAAAACATACACACATACGCACACACCCTGCATGTTTGTAGCAGCATAATTTGCAATTGCAAAGATATGGAAACTACCTAAGTGTGCCTGTCAACCAACGAGTGTATAAAGAAAATGTGGAATATATGTACCACAGAAGACTACTTAGCCATAAAAAGGAATGCAGCAACTTGGTTGGAGCTGGAGGCCATTCTTCTAAGTAAAGTAACTCAGAAATAGAAAACCAAATAGTATATGTTCTCATTTACAAGTCTATCCATGTAGGCATGAAAGACTACATTGGGTTTTTATATAAAATTTTAGTGTACACTGCTTGGGTGTTGCATGCACCAAAATCTCAGAAATCACCACTAAAGAACTTGGCTAGGTAACCAAAAATCACATGTAGCCCAAAAACGATTGAAATTAAAAAATCACTTGTATTGTTAAAAAGATCAAAAGGAAAAACTGAAAATAGATAAATAAATCTACAGGGGAAAAAAAGGCTCCAAAGCCATGGGGGAGTAGGTGGGGGGAACTTATAAATCTATCAAGGAGTACTGTGGTGAACATAAAAGGCTTATCCAATTGATAGCTGTCAGATTAGTGGGTGGGTATAAACCCATTCCAGGAGGTAAGTTGCAAATTACATGACCACTTGAATTTCCTTCTAACTGTATTATGCTAAGTTATGAAAGTTATTTTGGTTAGCAAAAGGAAGGAATCGAGATTATTTTTCCAGGGCTAAAATGTATCTTAGTCTAAAAAATATTTCATTATTTTGTGTAGTCCCCTCAAATTTAAGTATATAATGTATGTGTGCCATTTATTGATAAGCAGGTATCTAAGGAAACAATTTCTGGTACATACTGCTATTTTATGATATACACGGTCAAACCACTAAAATAATAAACAAGGAAAGTGTAGATTCTACAGATAGTGGGAAAGTCAGCAAAAGAAATATTTTCAGTACCATCACTAAGTGATTTAACAAGCAGTGTACTTTTATCAACTTGTAGTTCATAACAATTTTTCCCTTGAGTGTGAGAACATTTAAATTAGGTTCAAATCATGGAAATCTTTTTTATTCTCAAAAACAGATTGTACCAATAAAATTGGCCAAGTATATAAATTTTCATTCATATGCTAAGCATTGTGTTTTCCTCACAGGCTCCCATCTGGTAGCGTTCCTATCAGTGCCTTGGTAGTCATGTTTCAAACCTACAGATTCCTTTAAGGCTAACCCAGCTTGAGAGTTATGTATGTAATTCGTTGTTTCATAGCCCTGTCTATCTATCACATTCTCATTGTTGAAAGATTGTTGGATAAAGGCTATTTCTGTTATCCCTCATCTTATCCAGTACAGATTCACATTTTCAACACCTCAACTGTGCTTTTATTTTTCTGCTCAACTTAGTTGGCTGAGTTTCTTCTTACTGTTCCTACAAACATGCTCAGCATTAACATCAGAGTGCTTGTCCTTCCAGTCTTCTGTTCTCGTGAGAAAGGTTCCACTCACGGTCCTATGGTCATGGAAGCAATGATAGGCCTCTCTCTATACCGATTTGAGGCCCCTGGTTTCACCAGTATGTGGCTAACCAGCAATTCCTACAATCGAGTGATACAAGGGGCCATGAATTATGTGTTGTGTTGCTTAGCTAAGCTTCAGACTAACATGCTGTAACTTTGGGGCAAGACTGTATGAGCTGACCATAGGAAGATGAGAGGAACACTTAACAGAAACACCATGCAAGGGGAACAAATGGGTTGTGAGTGAGAAGGAGAAAACAGTAGTTTCTAGCACTGCCCGATTCCTGACAGATTTTCAGTTCCATTCCATGTGTATACCTGAATAGATACCTCTCCCACTTTTCAAAGATAATATCAGGAATTCCTGTGCTAAAACCCAAGCATAACCCCCAAGTTTAGTTTCCTGGGAAAAAAGACTAAGCTAAAATTTAAGAGAATTCGGTTCTAGGCTTTTGCAAGTCACCTTTGAATCCTCTTGCTCTAAAAATATTATATTTTATATATATATAATTTTTAGAGTAATATTATATTTTATAAATATATAATATTTTTAGAGCAAGAGAATATATATCTATCACACACAAAATTGTGATAAGCTCTAGTTTTTTCTCATTTTCATGTTTTAATTCTCTTCCTCCTAATAAGGAATTCATTGATTTTTATTTTAGATGTTAAGGACATGTTCACTTCCAGATCTCTCAAAGCTGTTCAGAACCCTGATGGACGTTCCCATCATAGGCGATGTTCGTCAAGACAATCTTGAAATAGATGAAATTGAAGATGAGCATATTAAAGAAGGACCTTCTGATTCTGAAGACATGTAAGTAAATGTCATTAGTAAACACTAGCATTAAAAGAGTTTCTGAATTTATATGTAAAAAAAGAGGGGATGACTGCCTAGCTCTTTTTTTAGTCATTAACCTCTACTTTTATGTCTCCTGCGTATTATTTTTATTTATTTATTTTAAGACAGGGTCTCACTCTGTCACCTAGCTGAAGTGCAGGTTGGACATAGTGGCTCACACCTATAATCCCAGCACATTGGGAGGCCAAGGCAGGAGGATTGCTTGAACCCAGTAGTTTGAAACCAGCCTGGGCAACATAGTGAGACCAAGACAGTCATGCTCTGTCACACAGGCTGGAGTGCAGTGGCGTGATCTCAGCTCACTGCAACCTCTGCCTCCCGAGTTCAAGTGATTCTCCTGCTTCAGCCTCCCAAGTAGCTGGGATCACAGGCACTTGCCACCATGCCCGGTTAATTTTTGTATTTTTGGTGAAGACAGAGTTTCACTGTGTTAGTCGGGCTGGTCTCAAACTCCTTACCTCACTCAAGTTATCTGCCCACCTCATCTTCCCAAAGTGCTGGGATTACAGTCATGAGCTACCACACCTGGCCAAAAAAATTTCTTTAAATAGCCAGGTTTGTTACCACACACCTTGTAGTCCCAGCTACTCAGGTGGCTGAGGTGGAAAAAATCACTGGAACCCAAGAGTTTGAGGCAGGAGTGAGCCGTGATTATGCCACTGCACTCCATCCTGGCAGCAGAGTGACACCCTGTCTCAAAATGAAAAATAAATAAGCTGGAGTGCAGTGGCATGATCGTACCTCACTGTATTCTCTCCTGGGCTCCAGCAATCCTCCCACCTCAGCCTCCCAAATAGCTGGGATCACAGGTGTGAGTCACTGTGCCTGGCCAAGTTAATTTATTATTGCAGAAAAATTAATTTATAAATTTAGTGTAGCCTAAGTGCATACTGTGTTTATAAGTCTGCAGTAGTATATAGTAAAGTCCTATGATAAGTATCCTATAAAGTTTACCATTCTTTGTCTTTTATTCCATATTTTCACTGTACCTTTTCTATGTTTAGGTATATATAGAATAGACAAATACTATCATGTTACAGTTGCTTCCAGTATTGACTACAGTGATATGCTGTCCAGGTCTGTAGCTTAGGAGTAACAGGCTATACCGGTATAGCCTAGATAAGTAGTTAGCACAACAAAGAAATTGTCGTATAGTGTGTAGCCTACATACCTAGGCTATTGAAACTGTAGAACACAGTCATGAATTGCTTAACAACAGGAAACGTTCTGAGAAATGCACTGTTATGGGCATTTCTGAGAACGTTTCCTTTTGTTAAGCAATTCATGACCGTGCTCTACAGTTTCCCAGGAGAATGACCAGAAAGCTCCACCTCTCCCTCCTGCCATGTGTGATTTGAAAGCCATGGCAGTGGGGACCAGCAGGCAGACTAGTTTCATTTGTGTGTGTGTGTCCACGTGTGAGTGCACACATGAGTTCTGCATGTAATTGGATTGTTTTCACTAACTTGCTTTCTTTATGATTCATGGGGAATCCCGAATCTAGGAGGGAAATTTAACAAGCAGCACCTCTGAGAGCTGTGAGGAGTGATAGCCCCTCAGATAATAACCTTCCTTTACCTCGTTCAGCATTAATCAGCCCTCTAAACACCCTCAGACCTCTTTTTGCAGTAATAAAACAAAAGTATCCTAGAGTAAGGTGAGCAGGTAGTGTGTTCAAATCACCTGGAGAAAAAGTTATAAAATATTAGAATTTTTACAATTTATTTTGTGATTTAGTTGAACTTAAGTTTCTGCTTTTTACTTTTATCTTTAGAAAGAACTTCTATTTTGATCTGATTGAAAGTACGTCACTCTCACAGTGTTTTCTTCTGTAATGAGTTAGGTAGGATCGATGCAGCTGGCACATTTTCTGGTTTTTGGGGTTTTTTAATCCTTGCCCTTGCTTCTTAAGTTTCTAGTGAAACTTTATTTTTAAAAGGTTGCCTTTTTCATTTTTCTTAAGCATTCTGTAGATTTTTACTAATGACCTTACAATCTAGAAGAAAAGTTACCGTTTTACTTTTGTTTCTTATGCTTGACTGTGGTCATCAAACACTGAAATGCGGTTTTTATTAATCTTGTTGGAGAATATAACAACATTCAGGATTTTTATTGTTGACAAAGTGCTGAGTGACAGTTTTTTCCCCAACAATTTTATGAAATCATTTATTTTTATCTGGATGAACTATAGCTTATTTGGGACTTGTGTTCTTTTATTTTTTTTTTTTAAGCTGCTCAGTTTGTGTTATGCATGTGTTTTTTTAATGAGCAGTTGATGACAGATTTTATTTTAAAATTTAAGTTCGAAGCCTTTAGTATTAATTGAAAAATTTGAAAACCAAGTTATTTTTAAAGTAAATTATTTCATATTGATATAGGGAAATTTCACTTGATGTTTGTCTTCGGGAAAACAAAATGTGGTTTTTGGTCTAAATTTTAGTCAAGGTTTTATAAGAAAGCCAACTAAACACTGAATTCAAGACCAGATTTTTTTTTATTGCATTTTAGGTTTTGGGGTACATGTGCAGAAAATGCAAGATTGTTGCATAGGTACACACGTGGCAGTGTGTTTTGCTGCCTTCCTCCCCTTCACCCACATTTGGCATTTCTCCCCATGGTATCTCTCCACAGCTCCCCCCACCCGCTGTCCCTCCCCTATTTTCCCCAATAGACCCCAGTGTGTAGTGCCCTCTTCCCTGTGTCCATGTGTTCTCATTGTTCATCACCCGCCTATGCGTGAGAATATGAGGTATTTCATTTTCTGTTCTTGTGTCAGTTTGCTGAGAATGATGTTCTCCAGATTCATCCATGTCCCTACAAACGACACGAACGCATCATTTTTGATTGCTGCATAATATTCCATGGTGTATATGTGCCACATTTTCCCAGTCCAGTCTATCATCAATGGGCATTTGGGTTGATTCCAGGTCTTTGCTATTGTAAACAGTGCTGCAGTGAACATTCGTGTGCATGTGTCCTTATAGTAGAACGATTTATAGTCCTTTGGATATATACCCAGTAATGGGATTGCTGGGTCAAATGGAATTTCTATTTCTAGGTCCTTGAGGAATCGCCACACTGCCTTCCACAATTGTAAAACTAATTTACACTCCCACCAGCAGTGTAAAAGTGATCCTATTTCTCCACATTCTCTCCAGCATCTGTTGTCTCCAGATTTTTGAATGATTTCCATTCTAACTGGCATGAGATGGTATCTCAATGTGGTTTTGATTTGCATCTCTCTAATGACCAGTGATGATGAGCATTTTTTCATATGTTTGTTGGCCTCTTGTATGTCTTCTTTTGTAAAGTGTCTGTTCATATCCTTTGCCCATTTTTGAATGGCTTGTTTTTTTCTTGTAAATCTGTTTGAGTTCTTTGTAAATTCTGGATATCAGCCCTTTCTCAGATGGATAAATTGCAAAAATTTTTTCCCATTCTATTGGTTGCCAATTCACTCTAATGACTGTTTCTTTTGCCATGTAGAAGCTGTGGAGTTTCATTAGGTCCCATTTGTCTATTTTGGCTTTTGTTGCCAATGCTATTGATGTTTTGGTCACAAAGTCCCTCCTTACTCCTATGTCCTGAATGGTTTTGCCTAGATTTTCTTCTAGGGTTTTTATGGTGCCAGGTCTTATGCTTAAGTCTTTAATCCATCTGGAGTTAATTTTAGTGTAAGGTGTCAGGAAGGGGTCCAGTTTCTGCTTTCTGCACATGGCTAGCCAGTTTTCCCAACATCATTTATTAAACAGGGAATCCTTTCCCCATGGCTTGTTTTTGTCAGGTTTATCCAAGATTGCATGGTTATAGATATGTTGTGTTGCCTCCAATGCCTCTGTTCTGTTCCATTGGTCCATATCTCTGTTTTGGTACCAGTACCATGCTGTTTTGATTACTGTAGCCTTGTAGTTTAGTTTGAAGTCTGGTAGTGTGATGCCTCCTGCTGTGTTCTTTTTGCTTAGAATTGACTTGGCTATGCGGGCTCTCTTTTGGTTCCATATTAAGTTCAAGGTGGTTTTATCCAGTTCTGTGAAGAAAGTCAATGATAGCTTGATGGGGATAGCACTGATTCTGTAAATTACTTTGGGCAGTATGGCCATTTTCATGATATTGATTCTTCCTAACCATGAACATGGAATGTTTCTCCATCTGTTTGTGTCCTCTCTTATTTCGTTGAGCAGTGGTTTGCAGTTTTCCTTGAAGAGGTCCCTTACATTCCTTGTAAGTTGTATTCCTAGGTATTTTACTCTCTTTGTAGCAATGGTGAATGGCAGTTCGTTCTTAATTCGGCTCTCTTTAAGTCTGTTATTGGTGTAGAGGAATGCTTGTGATTTTTGCACATTGATTTTATATCCTGAGACTTTGCTGAAGTTGCTTATCAGTTTCAGGAGTTTTGGGGCTGAGATGATGGGGTCTTCTAGATATACTATCATGTCGTCTGCAAACAGAGACAATTTGACTTCCACCTTTCCTATTTGAATACCCTTTATTTTTTTTCTTGCTGATTGCTCTGGCTAGAACTTCCAGTACTATATTGAATAGGAGTGGTGAGAGAGGGCATCCTTGTCTAGTGCCAGATTTAAAAGGGAATGCTTCCAGTTTTTGCCCATTCAGTATGATATTGGCTCTTGGTTTGTCGTAAATACCTTTTATTATTTTGAGATATGTTCATCAATACCAAGTTTATTGAGGGTTTTTAGCATAAAGGGCTATTGAATTTTGTCAAAGGCCTTCTCTGCGTCAATTGAGATAATCATGTGGTTTTTGTTTTTGGTTCTATTTATGTGGTGAATTACGTTTACGGGCTTGCATATGTTGAACCAGCCTTGCATCCCCGGGATGAATCCAACTTGATCATGATGAATAAGTTTTTTGATTTGCTGTTGCAATTGGTTTGCCAGTATTTTATTGAAGATTTTTGCATCTATGTTCATCATGGATATTGGCCTGAAGTT